CGGCCTGCTTTCGCTAAATTGGGTAGTAATAGTTGAATAGTGCCGCCTAAGACCATTAGTGGAAGACCCCGGTACAAGACTATATACCTTTGTGAGGACTTTCTTCTCTGCAGGACTGTCCCCCGATGATTGCACTCCTGTGTCGTACACGCCTGAACCTTTTTGGGGAAGGGAGAGAGCGCAGGCCTAGTGAGTCGCCTCGAACTATGCATGCGAGTTCACCTATTGGTAGGCATCTGTTTAAATGGGAACAAAGGCGCTGAAGGGTGTGGAAAGAGGGAAAATGAAAAGGAATGGTCAAAGCCAGCAAAATAAGGTTCAACTTGTGTCCATTGACTTTGGGCTACCAAAAAGGCCGGCTAGCCGCCATCTGCGTGCTTTCTAAGGGCTAGAGTGCAGGCTGGTAGAGACCAACATTGTGGGGCTCAGTCGAACGTCGAAGGAGGAATGAAGGATGGTGGCAGTCAAAGGAGGGCTCAGCCTTTTGAGAACAATCATTGCGCCGTTAGTACATCCTTATGGATATAATTCCCTTAGTCCATCCTTGAAAGGTATGACTCCCCTAGTTCCCAAAACCACCGTGAATATCCTTCTTATTGTGTTCACTTCAGGCAGGAGAAAAGCCGGCATCGGTTCCAGATGTACATCTTCCTGGCCAGCTAGCCGTATTCAGTGGACGGTAAGACCTTCACTCAATCATTACTAAGAAATTAGGTTCGGACTATGAAACAGTCTCCGCCAAGTTAAAATCACCCAGTTGCGTAACCTACGAGATGAATAAAAGTACTCATAGGTGGGAAACCCTTCGTGCGGATTCTGTTTGAAATTGCAAGTAGGGGTGAATGGTGAGGCAAAAAAAACTTAATTTCTCAACAGGCAAACTTTCGTCCTCCATGAGAAGCACCCCGTAGCTTTGACTATCCCTCGCTTCATGCGGCTTGTGGCACCCTCCTGGTCTCCATGGTCTCTAAGTGAATGTTTTTTCTCTTCTCTTCGGAAGTAGTAGTCCGTTCCGGGATATCAGGCTGAGTTGAGCATTCAATAGCGTCGTCCTTCGCCACAAGCAACTTTCGCTGAAACTTCACACCAGTCGTCATGAAAGGTGAACGCGACAAAAACATCCGTCTACCCGCTTCTGTTGTTTTCATTTTCATTCTTTTCCCCGTCGACTCTGCGCATCTCATTCTAATACACAGTGTCTCCTTGTCATTAATCAATTGCCCAGCGTTCAGATCCGCTTTCAACCCGTTCACACATGCGGTCGCCGCAACATTCAACGAAGACCTTTCAGATTCATTTGGCACAGGATTTGCCGTCAATGTGAGTGGCACTTCCATAAACCATTAAACGCTGTCTTGTGTTCTTTGCTCATGAAGTCTCGTTCAAGGGTGTTAACAATTACAACCTACAAGTTCGTCGGAATTTCGACCAGTACGCTGACGCACCCTTCGACCGAAATGATGGATCGTATCAGCCTTTTCTGACAGCCGGCGCCGTCGGAGCTGAGTATGACCTCAGCAAAATAACGGAAGTTGCAGGTTCGTCTAATGGAGTATATTTCACTTCACAGAATGGATAAAGTATTTGAAGGACATCTCGATCTGCCGATACCTGGCGTGAACGAATTGTTCGATTTCGACGGACGAATAATGCTCAAAGGTGAAGATTACTCTCAGAGAGGGCTGTTGAGAAACTGTAGTTTGATGAAGGCGTCAGAACTGAGAAAAGAAAAGAGCCCACCTCCGCCCTTGATCTTTCGGTCGCGCACCCTCCCATGCAAGGCGAGGGCTAACTATCCTCCTGCTATCAAAAGCGCAGCTTCCAATTTAAACTTCTGTTTAGTCAACTGCGCAATGCTGTCGGCTAGCAATGCTATCAGCCATCACCTAGTCACAGATGTGTCGTTTGTTGCTTGTAATCTGTATAGGAACAACTGTGATGCTTGAGTAGTTCGGAACAGGACACGATCACTCTGAATGAAGCTTTTGCTGAATCCCCCCCCCCCTTCCTCTCCATACTCTAGTAGGACCCGATTTCACAACCTAACTTCCCTCTAACCAGCTTTAATTCTGCTGCGCCGCCAAATAGAAAGAGTGTGTAGTGCGCAGAAAACGGGAAAAATCAACAATCGGAAAGAATTTGAAGATCAAGCATTTCTTTCCCTCGGGTAATCAAATACGACCACCGGTTGTATTTAACAGATTGATTTGCTCTGGAAGCAAGGTACGTTGTTCCTTGGAAGGGTCCCATCAGGGGTCGTACTGAGTCGCTGGGAAGGAGGTCTGTTGGCCTTAAAAATTTTTTTTCGAGCAGCGAGAGCTTTTTTCCCGGTTGTTGACTTTTCGAGATTTTCTCCGTTTCATGTTTTACCACCACTCCTTCCACGAAGTAACCACACAGTCACTGTGCTCCTATACAACCACTACGACGGAAGAATTCTCTCCCCTCCCCCACACTCGTTCGATGTAGCGAGTTTTTTGGGAAATTGTCCATAAACTGGGTAGTAAGAAATTGGGAAAACGTAGGAAGGATTGGTTGGTAGGAACGTACGGGAGGGGTGAGGGGAACCATATGAGAAAGTTCTAGGAGGGGATGTTGTGCTGATACCGTCGTTTTATACATCATGATGCTGCACCCTGGTTGGGAGGCATGTCGTCTGCTTCACCGTTGCAGATGTGCCGATGGATAGAGTGTGCTCCCCCTCTACCCCACCTATCAACTTCTGTCTGTTAAAACAGATGGAGAGATCCATTGAGAATTGTTCATAGGGTCCTTAACACATTAAAACTGAATACTTATCTTTTTCAATTGAGGTATTTTTTCAGGTGGTGGCAATGGTATTTTGAACAGCGCTATGGAATTCCCGCTAACATTATCCGATCCGAACGAGCGTGCGCCATACACCTTCAAGTATCTGAATTTCATGGCTGATCGACATATGCAGTATGGACACGTCTTGCCAAATGTGAACCTCTTCCTCGTTGGCAAGGACAAGATCATGAACCGGCTCACACAAAATCGACTCAATAGACTCAATCCTACTATGATTGGTTAAAGATTTACTGGCCACAGCACGCACTAGTTGAGGTCGAAAAAATGAGGTCAGGTGCAGATCTTTTTTTTACCTCAGGGATTGATGGGCATTTCACCTTCGGCTGCTTCCTCTATACTTTGTTTGGAGAAAGAATGTCAATTGTAAGGAGGAAGATGGTGACTACAAAATAGTGACGAGACAGGTTGGAAGGTAGAAACGCGAGGCATATAGCGTAGTAGTATGTTCAAAAACCGAGTAGAATCACTAATAAATACGGTACTGTCCAAAATATTCTCACTGAGTCCTCTCTGACGCATATGCATCAACGTTTATAGCTGCTTTACTGCCTTCGTTATTGCTAGGTATCTATAGCGAAAATATGTCCAAAACATTTAATTTCCACTGAGTAGTCCTCATTTCATAGTCGTTAGCATCGGAATTTAATTTCTTTCTTTTTTGTCCATTGTATGTTGTAGATCTGCCTTGCCAACTGTTCTGCTAGAATTCCTACTCTATATATATAAAGGAGAGTTGTCTGTGTGGTTTTGTAGGACCTAATAAGGAGTCGTGGGCCGGTCGCCAAGGCCAAGCACAAAAATTGTCAAGGCCTAGAGGTGAGTAAACGGGACTTTGAAAGCACAAAAGTGAGTGGAAAAGGGTCGGCCATTGAAATAAGGTATGAGTCACACCGAGGGAAAGTGTAAGCTGACAGGGGGGCACGCTCACACTCGCTCCTCATATTGTATCCATTGCATTCCTGCGTTCCGAAACACCTTGTAAGCGCTCTAGAAGAAAGGGTAAAACTTTCGTTGAAGAAGAATCCTGTGTACTACTGGGAATGTCTACTGGATGTCTGCCAGGGCCGCATCTACAGCAGGCAGAGCGTGTCACACACTTAAACAATCGGTTGCTATTTATGCAAATTCTTGGTTTCCGGCGGTGATTCGCTGTTCCAAACAAAGCGAGGCATCGCTCACAGTTTGATTCTACAAGTTAAATTCTGACTGTTATCAAGGTCGTCCCAATAACATAAGCCACTAACTAATGCACATGTATACCGTCATCTCCAACAGATTTTCAAAGCCTTAAGCGAATTTGGTCCTTAGGCGAAATTTCGACTCCGCGTGACGTGGGGGGGGGCGGTTGCCCGCACTGGGTAGGGCATTCCCTCTAACAGTTCATGACTATCTGCATCTCTTCCCTCATACCAAAGAGCGCTGCGGCTACAGTATCAGAGCTTCTTCACAGTGAAATTCACTGATGTAGAGAATGTTACACAACTAAAACTGTGTAGGGCCCGCATTCTAGGGAATGATACAGTATGATGAAAGGGTAACAGTATTGATATTTCTGAAAATATTTTTTTCACACACGGCGAACGCGACGATCCTACTGGTCCCCTCACCGGTGAAAATAACTCTGGCGCGATAATTCCACTTCACACGCGAATGTCAATAAAATTGGTTTAGAACCTTGCTAATGGAGTTTGATAAACTGCTTGACTCACTGTGGGATGAAATTTATGACAAACTGATACAGCGCGAAGAAACTACACTAAAACTACAAACAGTGAGCATAAAAATGGTAGGGTGATTTTCAGTTGCTGCAGAATGCTGTTTGGTGGGACTTTTATCTGTGAGAGGTCAATTCGCGAAACGATTGGGCAAGCGTTTCGCGAAATTTTTCTCTTCCCATTCGACACCATCTCCATCCCCGCCCTTTATGACACGAACACTTTTTAGCGCGATCATGACTTTAGAAATCCATGCCACTACTTTTGTTTCTTAGGCTTGTTTGCAATTTTCTATCTTTCACACAGGACCGGCATGACGACCACACAGACCACATCCCGCCACTTTAACAGGATTGTTACGTATTTTCCGATTTTAAATTCTTTTTCCGACACGTCAACCTTTCAAATCACTCTTCACATACTGGCGCCATCGCCTGATCGGAATGGTTTATTCGTGATACGGTTGTCAAATAACCCACGTTTAGAAGTTTCTATCGAAATCGGTGCCAGAAAAACCACTAGCACCGAATTGGAGCCCGCTGGCGCAGTGGCGTTAACAGATGGAAAGGGAATGATGCGTATCGTGGTAAGGATTACCCTAATTTGCTACGTATTGTTTGTTTATTTGCTCGTTTGTTTGTTTGTCCGGAAATTCGGTTCTACCAGAAGAACAACTTGGAGAGGTGGGGTCAAGGTCGGGATGGGTAGGGCATGGGACAAGATGTAAATAGCACCTGTGACCCATGGTAAACCGCGTACACAGTGGGCGAGGTGTACGCTAAAAGTTAACGATGTCGCTGAAAAGAAATACACAATTTGGCTCCAGAGCAGTCGATGGGAGAAAAGTGGAATAAGGTTGGCAAGTTGAGCGATCAAATGGAGGAGACACACCCGAAATGGGCGGGGCGTACTAGAAATGGGCGGTGCTTCCGGTGTCACTGGAAAAAGTCATAATTCAGCTACAGAGCAGCTCTGAGATGGGAAAAAGTGAGACAGGGTTAGCAAAGGGTTGACCCATCAAGTGGAGGAGGCACACCGGAAACGGGCGGTGCTTCCCGCAAATGTCGGTAACTCGGTAACCGAGAGAGTTCAAAGAATGCAAAAAAGTTCATTGCAAATTAAGCATCTGGCGAGAGTTTGTCATATCTGCGGTGTGCGGGGACCACTCACACTTTAAGGGGCGTGGCGCCAAAGATAAGGCGTCAAATATGACGTACTAATTAAAAAAATCGTACTATGGTCCTAGGTCACTACAGGCGACGCAAAAAAGTGTATTATTGTCTCCTAGTGGTCACCCGTTGAGAAGTGCGAGGCCCATTTGTTGTAGGCGGAGCGGAACTGAAAAATTCGCAAAACGTTTCCAGAGCAATCCAGATAAAAATGGAGTTGAAAAGTTTGAAGTTGAGAAGTGCGAGGCATACCCGTTGTGGGCAGAGCGTGCGAGGAACTGGGAGAAAAAAATTCAAAACGTTCCCAGAGCAGTCCGGACACCGGCAAAAGGTAAGCAAACGTGTGCAAGACCTCGACTATTGGAGTGAGAAGACAAGCCCATTGGAAGCCTACGGATGTCGAGGTAGGAGGGGCAAAAGTCAAAAATCCACGAGTAGAATGCAGAGCAGCATATGCAGCGGGGACACTGAACTGAAGTTCTTAATGGGCTAGTGAATGAAATGGGGCGGACATCCCCAAAATGGTGGCCCCTACTCGAGATGGGCGGAGCTTGCTACGAAATTTTATAATTCGGACCTGAGGGACTATAGAGATCAAAGAAGTTGTTGGAGAAAAGAAACATGTGACAAAGTCGAGTGTTGCTGGGGTGTGTAGGCACCCGCACACACTGGGCTGTGCGTGCTCTCAAGCACGGCTGCCTATTTTTACTGAGCTTCAATGCATCGGCAGCCATACACTTAACCTCCGGTCGTCACAGGTACATTTGAACCAGCCGGCTCCATTGAACGGGCCGGCCGCCTCGCTCTGTTACAGGCCGTAACCAGAGCGGGCGTGGTTTCACATTGCCGTAACCTGCTGGTCGTACGCTCAAATGAACGCTGATACTGCGCCTTTTCCTCATCTCTGCACTTCCATCAATCGCTCTAGGCACAATCATCACAGTAAGTACGTTCTGAAAATGCGCAGGTATGCAAAGGTTTACTGGTCAAGGAGCGTTGATCCTCTGTTCCGATAAAAAGAAAAACTCCGGATACGTATTTAGGTATACCAAAACATGTGGAAGGAAGGTCAAGTGCGAGCAACAGACAGCGCCCGGCCCGGCGGAGCTCGCGTAATACTGAAGGCAGAGTCGCCGCGCACCGGCCTCCAGACCGGTCAAGCCGCACTGTTTTGGAATAAGCAAGCTATCGAGCATTTGCGATCGAAATAATGCCTGCGAGCAGAGAGGCTAGCGCCAAAGACTGGCGCGGCCCGCTTGGGGCATATGTTCGGCCGACGACAAATAGATGTCACGTTCATTATCATAAAACCCACCAGTCCCTATAGTGGTCAAGGCTTTTTATTCTAAAAAGGACTGTTTTGAAAGGTTTTGTGTCGGAGAAGTAGCCTAGTTGGAAAAGGTGTTCTCGATTTTTCATCTTGTGCAACGGCAACATTTTTTCTCTCGCTCATCCCTGTTAGACATTCCCTTTCACAGGTGATTGAAAAGCAGAAAAGATCGATCAAACTGACGGCAATAACCCGAAAAGTGGTAGCGACAATTATGAGCCACCGGTGGCTCGTTTTGTCCCACGTGGCCACTCACTTATGAGCCACCGGTGGCTCATAATGTCGACAACGGTTGAAGGCATAAGGCACAATAATTTGGTACGCGATCTAAAATGATAGCAGGGTGCTGTATAGTGAGAAAATGAAGAGAAAAGCGAAGTGAAACGGTCAAGAACCTGAGAAAAAGCCTTTGCCAAAAGCGAACTGAAGCGATGCGAGCATTAGCATCGCATTTTGTGAGCGGGGGAGGGGGGGGGGGTGCAGCGGGCGTCCACATCGGAATGCTGCAGCTTGATGGGGTTCTATAGGGGTACCTTCCTTGAGAAGGCTCCACCTAGCGTCTGCCCAGGAGTGTTGATCCTACACGTCATGCAGATTTATCGTGCGCTTGCCTTTAAGTGTCGAAAAGTAGTACTTAAAAAAATCCCGCGTTATTTTGGTCATTTTCGTGGCATGCTAATTCACAGAGCGATGAACTTACAGCAGTAGTGTTGCGGTCATCAAGGTGAGAAGTTCTCTAGTTTTCAAATCCGCTAGGATATCCACTCCAGGTTTTATGTGAACAAATCCGCATCCGTTTGAATAGTGAAAATCACATTTTCAAAAATAGCTGACTATCTCGGGCAGAAGGCTGCACTCACACGCCTACTGCTCCACGAAAAAAATTGTTTCTGGGGATCGTTTCGACACTCATGGGGAACACAGCCGTGGGGAACAACCATAAGAGAGAGTGCAATTGTGTAATCCGTTCTGCTATAGCTAGGCGTGTGGCTGATCGCGCGGCAGCGCAGCGGAGTAGCATCCAGCCATCACTGAACTCCAGCCCCTTCCCTTCACTTTGGACCGGAGAAAGTGGCGCACTATGGCAGCTGTGGACTTATTCTCTACACACTGCAAGGACCACCATTTATAATTTATGATGATTTATGATTCATGATCCATGGAGGTGATTCATGATCGATGGAGGTGAGTGCACATTTAGTCTTCAAGCGGGATTCTTCACTAGCCTTCACTACAATGCATTATTGTTCGAAAGAATGATGAAGATAGAGAGATCGTTGCGGCGTATCGGCATTAACCGTTGATCTGACAGCATTCTCATAAATTTCAACTTCTACCGGAATTGCGAGTTGGAAGACGAGATTCTTAGGGAAAATACATATAACCAATCAATGGAAATAGGAGGCTGTTAGCATTATTACGTTGACGATGAGCCATTTTCTTCATGACTTGCGCATGGGACGGCACATTTTCTTCGTTGAAATTCAGTAATTTTCAAACAAATCAATGATTCTGGTCAAAGAGCATGAAGAAGTGCCTGAGGCGAGGATATGAATCTTGAATCTTTGACACACTTTACCTTTTACTGCCCCAGTCTTCCAAAATCAGGCCAGTTCTTACCAAAATTTTTCTCTTAAAAAATTTGGGAGACCACCAGACAATTCGCTCTGGATAGTTGAACCTCCCAAACATTCAAAATTTCAACACAATTCCGCATTCGCCTGGCACGAAACTGTCTGGCGCCCGCGCCACAAGCGCTGACGCCAGATAGTTTCGCGCTACATGTAGCGGGTCAATGCATGCATGTCATGCCGCGCCTGTAACACGAATGCTAGCCAGTTCGCGTTGAGCAGGTGTGATACTCATATTCAGGGAGTCGGACTACCTCGGGAGGCAAGTTTTCAGCGAATTTGTAATCTACAGTATTTTTTCGCCGGCGCCTATAGCGCGAGCGCCAGACAGTTTTTTGGCAACGCCGAAGGGGGATTCATGTCGAGGGGTCAAACTACTCCAGAGAGACACGTTTCTCAGCTAAAATGTGGTATTTTGGCGCAGCGCCACGTAGTTCATGCCAAGCAACTGTGATGTTCGTTTCAGAGCGTCAAGCCAGCCGTAAGGACACGATTACAATGAACGTGGTTATTTGCACATCTTTTTATTCAGACCCAGTATACTGTCAGACAGGCATTGTCGTTGGCATGGTGTCCCATGAGAAGACTGGCTGTCCCCACCATGTCTGACACTCGTCGTCAAACGTCTTAATTCAAGGCTTTGAAATCAAGCTGCATGTTCCGGCAATGATTCACCGTCCCAGACAGACTAGCTGTCCGCCCCCGAAACAGTCCAACGGTTTGAATAAGTATGACGAGTCATTGAGAACAGATCACATCTACGCTGGGGAATACCGAGGGGGCTGGGGAATCATAAGCTAGGAACTCTTCAGGAAATTCCGAAAAAAAACTGGAAAAATGTTAAGAAGGTGGGTACACCATGAAAAAGGGAGGATGGGGAGAGTGGGATGGTATCAGATGAGGGAGTTAAGGGGGTCGTCCGAAAATTTTCCCTAGCGGCAGGACGTGCCCTGATAGAGAATAACGATCAGATGCTACAGATAAATGGAGCAGATTATAGAGACATCACGAGATAAATGATCGCGAACGTAAAAATCGAATAAACGGTGCCCAAATGGCTAAAAGCAATTGTCTTCGCTACGGCGAAATGGTGAACTGGATTAGTTGAACTTTCATCGTCCGACCTTTTCTCCGGGATCACGGATATCATCCGATTTATTCTATCCTTCCTCTATCATCAGCAGTTGACATGCTTGTACTGACAACCCTATTTTTATTACATTTGGATCATGTGTTTTCTCGAGGTAGGGTTTAAATGTGATTTTAATAGCCAGGGAAATCGAATAATTTTTTGGTGGGGTGGAGGTTCCATGATCTACTTCTTAGCCGGTTATGTGCCCTCATGCTTTTCAGCACCATTTGTAAGAGATCGACCACGTGGCTTAGGGTTACTGCAATTGCCCACAGGTATGACCGACGAGCGTTCAGGACCATTCTTTCCAAATCTCTATATAGCCGGTGATAAAGTAAGACTTTAGAGGGACGTTTTATCGTGGAAGATTAGTTAATTCTACAATGCTTTTCAGGCAGGTGAGAAGCCACAGAGTGTCCCGGATGTGCACTTGCCTGGTCAAAAAGCCGACTTCAGTGGAAGGTAGACTATTACAAGCATAGTGAAATGTATTCACAGGAATAAATTTATAAGTTACAAATACTCGATCGCAAACAACTATAAAAATAAGTGGACTGGAAAGGTATTCTCAATGGCAACGGTGTTCAGCACTAACTCTCATTTTACCACTTCAGTTTTCGTTTTTAGCTTTTGTAATTCGTTTCAATAGTGTCACAAACCTGAGATTCCCTCAGTAGGTTTGACTTATTAGGTACAAGCGAATCTTTTTACCTTTCTAACGTATTTTCACACACTTCGAGTGATGTCTTTCTTTCATCTTTCTGACCCCTTCCTCTCACTTCATTTAATTCTCTGATTTTATCCTTTTCTCAACTCCTTCCCCTGTGTAGTCCTTCTCCTCGCTTCGTCGAGCTTCCTTACTGATGAGCTTGGGGGTTGGCGAGACAGTGATGATTCGTCTAGCAAAACGAAACGGATCATCTGTGCTTTGAAGTATTATGTAGGTTGGCTAATAAGTAATGACCGTTTTTTTTTCAATTGCAAAAATTTGTTCGGGCCGGAAAAAGGTTGAAACGCTTGCAAGCAAGCTATATATCATCTGATAGGAAAGTTCTCGTAGTATAAGAATATCAAAAAAGCTTTGGTCGAGGATATAGTTTTTGCTGGACAAAAATTTTTTAGTCGTTGAAGTTGAAAACGAAAACGGCGAAAATTAGCACCTTCGACAACTGCCTCTATTTACGTCTACTCGAAGTGCTAAAATCGCTTAAGCTGCTCCATACATTCGGAAAAGGTTGAGGTAGAAGTCTCAGCAAGGGAATCTCAATAGGACGCTTTGGAAACTAATTTCAAGAATTTCAAAGTTGGCAACCTTCACCTTGCCAATATTGGGCAGGCTCACGTCTGTTCCACCTGAAATTTCATGCTAATAGTTGAATTAATTGAATTTGAATTTGATATTCTAATACTACGGAAGTTTTGCTATTAAACGATATTAAGCTTGCTTGCAAAACGTTTTACTTTTGGAACAAATTTTTCGATTGAAAAAAACGGCCATTACTTATTAGCCAGCCCACTGCTAGTGGGCTGGCTAATAACTGCTAGTGGGCTGGCTAATAAGTAATGGCCGTTTTTTTCAATTGAAAAATTTGTTTCAAAAGTGAAAAGTTTTGCAAGCAAGCTTAACATCGTTTAATAGCAAACTTCTCGTAGTATTAGAATATCAAATTCAAATTCAATTAATTCAACTATTAGCATGAAATTTCTAAATAGAGGCAGTTGTCGAAGATGCTAATTTTCGCCGACTTCACTTCCAACTTCAACGACTAAAAAATTCACAAAAACTATATCCTCAACCAAAGCTTTTTTGATATTCTTATACTACGAGAAGTTTCCTATCAGATGATATATAACTTGCTTGCAAAACGTTTCACTTTTCGAACAAATTTTTCAATTGAAAAAAACGGCCATTACTTATTAGCGAACCTAATATTTTCCTTTTCCAACATTTTGTTTTTTTCTACTTCTCATTATTTGGCTAAACATTATAAAAAATTACGCTGAGCTCTTCCTGGCAATGGCGGTTCAATGTTGTGGAAACAGGGCACATCACTGGTTGGGGATTGGTCTGTACGACCCCCCCCTTTTTTTTGGGGGGGGGTTGGTACGACCCCCCTCCCCTCCAGCCCTCTGTCTCTCCTCATTGAATCGAACCCTCGAGCGGGGGGACGGGAGGAGGGGTGGGGGGGTGTGTAAATGGACAACTTCCGTGAAGCGAGAAAAGTCAACTATCAAAATAAAATTTTCTCAGCCCAAACACGACCCCCCTCTCCTGGCGGCCAAATACGACCCCCTGTTGGGGATCCCAACAAAAAACGTGCCTGGTGAAATCTGGGAGAAACAACCTCAACTGTAGTTACCTGAGAGCAGCGAGAGGAGAAAAGTAGTGCTGTGACATGAGAACCTTTGTGAACATAACTCAAGAGTATCCTTCATCATGCTCTGGTTATGCTCCTTGATCAAGCTTGGAAAAACTGCCGTGACAGGTCATTTCTTTTGGGATGCGCCCGCATCGTACTTATTTAAAATTGTAGTAGCATTTGGCATAGGGTGGGACACACAATGACTTTCGGGGTTAGCCTATGTACAACTAAGTGGTTTCATCTTTTCACACATGTCTGCTACCGATTTATTTTCAAGTTGGCCCTGGGGAATCGCTCCAGAATTCAACCACCGGAGTTGTAAGTGACGACTAGCGGGACCTGCACTGCGCCACTTCTACCAATGATCCTTCATTGATGGCGGTCATTGTCTCGCTATTCAACGGCTCTTGAATATCAGATTAATTTTTCAGCTGTATAATCTTGTACCTACTTCATCCCGGGCTGCTTTTACCCTTTTTTTTCTAAAGTCATAGAACAGTAAGCGAGTCTAGTAAGGACCTCCCGAGTCAAAGCTATGATGAGCTAGCCGGTCAAAGAATCACCATTTTTTTCAGATCCGCCTTCAATCCTTTTACACACGCTCTCGCAGCAGTGTTCAACGAAGATTTGGTGGACTCATGGGGTACTGGCTTTGCAATTAACGTGAGTTTTTCGTAGCCTTCCCTCTATAATGCCAAGATTATGTTTCATTCAGGGCGTGAACAACCACGATCTTCAAGTTCGGCGTAATTTCGACCAATTTGCTGATGTGCCACTAGATCGCAACGATGGAATGCATCAACCGTTCCTAACGGCATTCTCTGTCGGCTCCGAGTATGATTACTCCAAGATAAAAGAAATATCAGGTACTGTTCGCTCTGAACGTTCTGGAAGGCTCTTCTTATGAAAAAATCTGTGGTCACGGTTAGAAGGCGGATCCGCTGCTCCTATTCTGCAGCAGGCACTGTCCACTGATAGGAGACTACTCTCCACTAGCGCCCACGAACGGTTGAAAGCAAACGTCCCTCTCTGGTGCAGCAAAGAGATGATTCTGGCAAACAACGCCCTATTCGTACTCGAAGAACTTCATGAGGAATGATCGAGAAACCTTAGCCCCCAGAATTATGACTTTGAAGGTTGCTCTATTGGTCTAGGGAGACGGGCAAGAGAATCGTAATTTGCCGCTCCGCCGCGCGCGGCGATGGGCGCGGCGTTTTCTTAACTCGTGTTAACCTGTCAAGGAGCACCGGACTTCTCCGGATTGCCTGTTGTCGCCATCGTCTACCTGAAACCATCGTCATTTGCGGGCGCGACGGCGCACGCGACGCCCACCAGCGCGGTGAATTACGATTCTCTTGCCACATACCCATTGCTCTATGAACATCATACAGTATTCCAGAATTTATACCACATTCGCCACAACTGGTTTCGTTTTATATTTCAAACGTCTGCCATACACACTGTCATGATCACCACACGTCGTGATCACCGTCTCTAATTCCTGAGTTTTTCTCCACCAACTTGGGTCTCCTGCGGCACCACTGTCCGCTCAGCCGCTTTCGTCGCCTTTCCTTCGCAAAATACTGCACCACACTTCTCTTACGATCCCATCCACTTCGATAGGGGTGAAATGAAGCCCATCTAGTCAAGGGTTCCCCGACGCAAGATCGACACTGCTGTGTATTAGGGGTGAGTGGTGCAACAGCGTGCGCAGAAACTTCACACCCCTGCTCCACCTCTTCCACCAATATATGACCTATGCAGTATTCACATGTACATCGGCAAGCTTACAAACCTGCGACTAGATCGAATGCGTTCGAGAGCGAACTAACTCTAACAATATGTTAATGTTTCGGGATGTGTATTGTTCAAGATTCGGGTCCTGACGGGGTTGGATTCCTGAATTGTGCTAATTGTAGTCGCTCCTTCAGCCACAATCCCATATCCAGTTTAGACAATATAGGTAGAAGCGCTCTGTTTGCTGACTGAAGTTTTCAGCACCTCTTTTGGTCTTGAACCAGTATTAAGCAGGGCACGCCATCATTGTGATGATCACAAGGGGGGGGGGGGGGTCGTATTTGATCGTTGTTGGGAGAGGGACTGCCATAGATCTATACAAATACAACTCCCATTTCCGCTAGTTGAAAATGATATTCAAATTCCCGACGACCTCCCCCCACTCGACAGCAAAATTTTGGGGAAAAACCAGAAATTTCTCGGGAAAAACAAAGTGATAGGAAGTTGTGAAATTTAGGAAAGTGGTAGGTAGCATGGGTAGGGGGAGTCGTATTTGAGGATGGAATCAGGAGGGGGTCGTATTTTTCAGGAAATGATCACAACGCGATGGCGTGCCCTAGTATTAAGACCTATTGCTGGTGCAGTACTAGTATGAGTGTTAAAATTCCAGGTCACTTAGATCTCCCGATTCCTGGCGTTAACGAGTTGTTCGATTTTGATGGACGACTGATGGTGAAGGGTGAGTTTTTGATGGCTCTTCAAAAGGGCTAGAGTATCTCGAACTTCTTTCAGGAAATGGTAATGGTATCTTGAACAGCGCCATGGAATTCCCGTTAACGTTATCTGATCCAACATTGAACGTGCTCCTACACGTTCAAATATCTCAATTTCATGGCTGATCGACATATGCAATATGGTCATGTAGTACCTAATGTGAATCTCTTCCTTGTTGGCAAGGACAAGATCATGAGCAGATTAGTGCAGAACCGACTCAACCCAACAATGACTGGTAATGACATATACTAGATATTACCGCGTCCGTGAGCACAGTGTTTACTCGCATGTTACGCCAGAAAGGGTCTCGCCTGCTTCGAAGCATTGAGTGACCTCATTCACAATTTTCGTTGCACTTGTTCGATAAAAGCGATGGTCATACTTTGCGGCAGCGGTTACGCTCAGTCTTTCCAGCCTTCGGCGCGGCCAGTGACAAGGGAAAGCATGAGATATCGACTCTAGCGTTCTGCCAGCGTCATCCAGACAGCGCCTAGTACCTTTTCTCTATGTCAACTGCGGCTTGCCGAAAGCCTGCGTGACATGCTAAACGTACGACTGCCGCATAAGTATAGAGCCTGAGCGAAGATTTCGCCGGCATAGTACGGCCGTAACCGCTGGCTATCACACTACTTTCTGTACTTGAATAATAATTGTGACATGAATGAGTTCCCACTATAAACACCTTGAAAGCATGATGTGAAGAATTTGGGGCAAGTTTTTCTGTAAAACAGTTATTTAGCGTGACTGAATACGATCTCAGCCACAATTAAACCGGAACATTGCGACGAGTAGGTGGATTGTCCTGAACAATCAGCGAGGCGAGGACCGCTGTCTGTGGAAGTGCTCATGCGTTCTGCTAGTTTTGAAATGAAGCGCAAGGCAGAAGCAAAGTTTTTTGGGACTTCGCCCATGAACCACATTCGTCGATGAGGAGAAGGCGCAGATCGAAGGAGGGTTGGCTGGTTAGGTGTATTTCCGGCCATACGGCATGTTGCGTGACCACGTGCTTGCTGTAGTGGGAATCACATAGGGATCAGCCACCACTTATGCGTCAGCTTCACATAACAAGGTGACGAGGGGGCATACTTCCTAGGACTTCTAAAGCGTTCACCTGCAAACTACGAGGTAGTCGACGGAAGTGATCGAAGCAGCATGCATTAGTCCATTTTCACTGTAAATCACCACTTTTGCAAACCCAAATTCACCGCTCTTTTCAAACAAAATTCACCACACTTTCCAGCGGAGCAATTCATCACATCAGATCCACGAATCCGCCCTATGAGTCACGCCTACTCAGACCAGCTCCGGACCACAAATTTTCAATTCTATTTCATAACTTCAGCTTTGATTGACACTTTGTGTTCTATTTTTTTCACATTTTGCTGTTCTATACTTCTGCTTAAAAGAATGGCGACATCGACACATGGCTGACTCCGCCCATTTCTTGAAGAATTTATTGCCAATTTGGAATCTTCACGACTATTCTAACTTTGTTAATTTTACATCCACTCTTCACAGACTCGCGGCAAACTTTGCTGCTTTTCTTTCGTTCCTGCAGTGACGATCGAGACCTTTAGCATGAGTTCACCACCTACAGGGGGAGGGGCAAAAAAAAAAGCATTTCGATCACATATCAGCAAAGTTTTCGCTGCGCAGAGAGAAGCAGTGGCATATAGACCAGGGCGAAAAGATACCTAAGCATGTTCCTCCATAAGACAGCATTCTGCTCTCGCCTCATTTCGCCATTCATGACACCACAATATGAAGCTTCATCTCCAGGCCGCCAAACCCATTTTCTTGGGGACAGGCCTTCGGAAATTCATGTCACCTCCGAACAGCTGCGAAACTTCTAGTATGGAGTCACCCATAAATAGCTACCTGGAGAGCAGTACTCTCGATCTGGAAGACCTCCATCATCGAGCAGCTCCGTCAACGTCGCTACGGTCTAGGACATCATCTTCACCTCAGTCGCCAAGGCGCCAGTTGATGGTGGGGACCGGACGTACCTGGAATGGAGAGACCGATATTTTCTTCGTGGGCCCCGGACTAAAGGTGAGCGCTGGCGGTTACATCGAGCAACTCGAGAAGAATATCCTCTCCACATGTCGTCGCCCGTACCTTCTTGGAAACTTTGTACTGCTACAGGATTGGGTGACACCACATGGAATCAAAGGGCGTTGGGAAAACTCTTGCCTACTTGGAATGGAAGGGCGTTGAGTACCTGAATAAGGTGGAATATCTAAGCAGGTAACCTGACCTAAACCCCTCAATTACCTGGTTCGGGAGGAGTTCAATAGGGTGGTCTACAGTGGCGGAGAAATCAACGATCTCGCTGAACTCACGCACCCACTGACGGTCGCGTGGCAGAATCTCTCGATGGCGCTCCTCCAGAAGGCTGTGGCGGAGTATCATGATAGTATTTAATATGCTCTTTAATATGGTAGTAAAATGTCCGATAAAAATTTAATAAAGTGTAACTAACTTTAACTCATAGCGCCTCGAAAATCGAGGAAGAAAAGTCTTTTTTTGGCTCCCCCTGTATACTGCCGATCCGCATCTACAAAAGTGTGCGGGGTTTCTACCAAGTGGGCGGACCTTCCTATGAGCATGCTTTGTAGGGCAGTCTAAAAGGTGAGAATTTTGAACAGAGATCGAACTTTTGCAAAAGATGCAGTGGAGTTGGCCAAGGGGCGGAAATGTGTCGGTGCACAAATGCGCGTCTGTGATTACCTCTATGAAGAGTGGATGTGAAATTAACAAAGTTGAAAAAGTTATGAAAATTCCAAGTTTGCAACAAACTCTCCAAACTCTCCATGTGCAGATGTTCAGTCCATTCCAATTAAGAGTATGGGCGAAACAACAAGACAAAAAAATCCATAGAGCAGGAGTCATGAACAACATTTGAAAATTTGTGTCGGACGCTAACGAGCGTGGCGCGGGTTTCACGGTGGCTTCTAGCGTGAAGTGAAAATGGTATATTCAAGGGTTGAAATCAGTCAAGGTTCAGTTGTCGTTCTGCTAGGAACAAAAGTGAAGTCTTTCTGATTCGATCAAATATTTATTTAATCACTAAGTTTTTCGAGTAATTAAGCAGCAGTTTCACGAAAAAGATTGATTAATTAAAGAGTCGGCTTTAGCAGTTCTTTGTTAGGGGTGCTCTGAAATTATATCCCTTCTTTCATTAGTGAAGACGAGAGGAATGTCAAAACTAACGTCGAAGTCAGAGGAGCGGAAATTCGAGTAGATTTCAAATTTGGATTCAAGGTTATCTAATTGACTTCAGAGGTTGGTTGAAGAGTACACTTTATTGGCTGAGCGAGTTCGCTTTGCAGCTTTTGCGCCGATCGTTCCTTCGGAACAGGTTCTTCATCAAAATTCAGTTGCTGAACAAAAGCACGATTTCGCTGGAACTCAGACAAGTCATTTATCAAGGTTCTCTCAGTGAGGTCTACTGTAATTTGCCGTTGTTGAGGGGGGTGTTAGGCAATATGAGTGTGCCACGGCGCCAAACCCGTTGTTGAAGCGGGTGTGTGACAGCAATAGGCAGAAAACGAGTTATACGAACGATATGATAGTCGTGCCATTTGCTCCCTTCAAAAACTGCGGTGAACGGGTTGGCACCGCATCAGACTCATCCCGCCTGACACGCCCCTTTCCGCAGCAAACTGGACTCTAGATCACTTATACATATAGTATTACAATATCTGCAAATAGGTCCGTCCGGTGTGCTGGGCGAAGACATTCCGTATTGATTTTGACATAAAGGATAAAGTCTTCGCCGTTGATCAATCCCTTTGTGGGATGCGGCACGCATTCTACTTCCATTCAGAATCGTAGTGGCTTATTGAATGCGATGTGGCCTATACAATGACTTGCGGTGGCCAGCCGATGTACAAGTCAGTGTTTTATCCTCCCCACGAGTTTGTTACAATTCACCGTCCCGAGGGTAGAAGGCTGGGTTGATCTGAGAGGGAGTCAACGCGGGACCGCTCGGATGGTGAACACGCCACTCAATACTACACCACTTCCGCCTCTGATTTCGCAATACCATTTCAAATGAACATATACGTTGTCTGTGGCGTCCTTTGTCAACTATTTCAAACTCTTTTGATTAGCGCATGATCAGAATGTTGCGTATTCCGAGCGCGCCACTCTCTATTATGGGTTCCTCCCGTTTTGTGCTCACAGCGCAATACGGCTTTTGAAGTGCCGAGAAAAAAGCTCGATATTCGATCGTTGGCCTAAGCAGCCAACGCAGCCCCTCGAGACTAGACTGCTATCAAAATCATTCCTAAGTCTCGAAATCAGGACGATTTCATAATTTTCCTCTCATTGCTGTTGAGAAGATCTAGAGCTGTGGAAGTCCTCAGTCCGTGCGAGCAGCTTACGTTTTTTACTTGCTGCTTGCCTTAGAAAAAAGCGATTCCGTGTGCCTAAGGCGGATCGCTGGCTCTCACCGAATCCTTCAGTTCGCTTACGGTAATGGTCAAGATTATGCTTAGTAACGTCGTCCTAAATTATAACTCAGAAGGGCAGCCTCAGTGAGCAGAAGAAGCACTTGCGTTTGGTTTTCATGCACACGTTGTCAGCCTCATCGTGGCAAGAATTCATTCTTGAAACAAGGAATTAAGTTCGCGTATAGAATTCAGATCAAGCACTTCACACTAGAAACTGTTTTCCCCTGCAGCGTGCATTCTGCTGTGTGTAGCATCATCACACAAAATAGCGCAGCTCACGCAATGGGCGTCAAAAATCACGATTTCGAAAACCAGTTGTGCAACTTATGCCAATAAGTTCGCCCTTGTGATCGAATGATCACTTGAGAACACACCTACAAGCTCATTCAATGAAATACAAAGAGTTGTGCTTACCTCCGCACATGCTTTTGGTTGCAATATCTTTTGTTTTCTTGCGTGGTGGATTTGTCTTCTCTTCTGGAGCTGATTCTGCTGGGGTTATTCCCTGGTCAGACACGTTGTGCACTTTGGGCTCCGAATTTTCTGCAGGTGACTGCGCAGCTCCATCCGAAGCTGTGGACATTTCACTGTGAAGCGATTTGCTTGGAAGAGGAGATTTTGAGGAAGCGTGGAGTGCAGGTTGCTCGCTATTGAGTTGCAACGGTTCA